TATATGGATTGCATAATAAATTGCAAAATAATTCAGTCATATGGGATCACAAGACATTGCTGAACACATTCACAGAATTTGCTGCAATAAGTGACTGATGCCGAAACTAGTGAACCTTATCGCAAATTAATAGCAAAATTGAAGACAAAACTGAGAAATCAGATGCAAGCAAAAGTGCTGCCAAATATTCTTTAACCTCAAGTGCTTCTTACCTTTCAAGCATGTTTGCCATGAAAACATCAGTGAATGTCAAGCGTGGGGCAAAATGTTTATTTTCTGCTCTTGTGAGCAGTTAGTTAGCAAAATAAAATATTGTCTTTAGAGATAAGTGAACTGATTTGGAGGTTTTAGCTGGAGGATACAGTGCATCCAGAAAGTATTCACAGTGCTTAACTTTTTGTTATGTTACAGCCTTATTCCAAAATGGATTAAATTCATTTTTTTCCTCAACATTCTACAAATAATACCCCATAATGACAACGTGAAAGAAGTTCGTTTTGAAATCTTTGCAATTTATTAAAAATTAAAAAACAAAAAAAAACACATGTACATAAGTATTCACAGCCTTTGCCATGACACTCAAAATCGAGTTCTGGTGCATCCTGTTCCCACTGATCATCCTTGAGATGTTGCCACAACTTTATTGTCCACCTGTGGGAGATGCAGTTGATTGGACATGATCAGGAAAGGCATAAACCTCTCTATATAAGGTCCCACAGTTAACCGTGCATGTCAGAGCACAAACCAAGCCATGAAGTCCAAGAAATTGTCCGTAGACCTCCGAGATTGTATCAAGGCACAGATCTGGGGAAGGGTACAGAAACATTTCTGCAGCATTGAAGGTCCTAATGAGCACAGAGGCCTCCATCATCCATATATAGAAGAAGTTTGGAACCACCAGGAATCTTCCTAGAGTGGGCCGCCTGGCCAAAATGAGCGATCGAGGGAGAAGGGCCTTAGTCAGGGACGTAACCAAATACCCGATGGTCACTCTGAAAGAGCTCCAGCATTTCTCAGAGAGGAGAACCTTCCAGAAGAACAACCATCTCTGCAGCACTCCACCAATCAAGCCGGTATGGTAGGGTGGCCAGACAGAAGCCACTCCTCAGTAAAAGGCAAATGAAAGCCCGCCAAGAGTTTGCCAAAAGGCACATGAGGGACTCTCAGACCATGAGAAACAAAACTCTCTGGTCTGATGAAACAAAGATTGAACTCTTTGGCCTGAATGGCAAGCGTCATGTCTGGAGGAAACCAGGCACCACTCACCATCTGGCCAATACCATGCTGTGGGGATGTTTTTCAGCAGCAGGAACTGGGAGATTAGTCAGGATTGAAGAAAAGATGAATGCAGCAATGTACAGAGACATCCTTGATTAAAACCAGTTCCACAGTGCTCTGGACCTTAGACTGGGGGCGATGGTTCACCTTTCAACAGGACAATGATCCTAAGCACACAGCCCACGTAACAAAGAAGTGGCTACAGGCCAACTCTGTGAATGTCCTGGAATGGCCCAGCCAGAGCTCAGACTTGAACCCAATTGAACATCTATGGACAGATTTCTGCAAAGAAGAATGGGAGAAATTGCCCCAAAAATAGGTGTTCCAAGCTTGTAGCATCATACTCAAAACGACTTGAGGCTGTAATTGGTGCTAAATGTGCTTCAACAAAGTATTGAGCAAAGGTTGTGAATACTTATGTACATGTGTTTTTTTTTGCGTTTATTATTTTTAATAAACTGCAAAGATTTCAAAACAAACTTAATTTATGTGGTCATTATCCACCCCACAACGGGGTATTGTTTGTAGAATGTTGAGGAACAAAATGAATTTAATCCATTTTGGAATAAAGCTGTAACATAACAAAATGTGGCAAAAAAGCGCTGTGAATACTTTCTGGATGCACTGTACTATACTGTATATGTGCTCCAAATTGGAGACTCTCAAAATTATAGTTAGAAATGCAGTACACTAGGGTGCCATGACGTGGGCATTGCAGCTTACGCATATTTTTGCAAATGTGTACAAACTAAACCTTGTTTTTAACGTGAACTGTTAGTCAGGGCCAATTCAGTTTGTTGTAGGCTGGCTGGTAAGTGAGCTGGGAATGTTTGTTTGTTTTTTTGACATGTGTTGCCCATCCATGTGCTCCTTGCTGCTGCAATGGCTAGTTATACATTAGGTAGGTTGCCCTGTGTTTGTATACATCATGTATAGAGAGCACATTACAGTGTTAGAACTCAGCACATGTATAAATGCATCTTGACTTATTTCTTTTGGATGGTCAAGTCTACCAAAATATTAGTAATAAGAAAATGGTCATTGGGCTGAATCATCTAAAGACATTTTCTATCTCTTGGGTACAATCTTGACTTTTACTGGTATGCCTGCAATCCATCACAAATGGTCTACCCACTGGAATTTTACATGCATTTATAACATAGAGAATGCAGAATGAGAAGTGAGATTCTCTAATATGCATGTCTCTTATGGGGACAGACAAGCTCCATCATGTGGAGTTATAAAACCAGGTAATCAGACAATGCCCACCATAACTGAAAAAATAAACATTTGAAACATTATGGGGGAGATATACTAAAACTGGAGTCCAGAGAATCTGGTGCAACTGTTCATAGCAACCAATCAGCTTGTTCAATGAAGCTTTGACAATAATGCCTAGTAGCTGATTGGTTACTATGCATGGCTTCACCAGATTCTCTGTGCTCCAGGTTTAGTAAATTCCCCCATGATGTCAGAGGACAACTTGCTTGGTTGTGGATTAGAGTTGTTGTTGCTGATAATAAATACACCTACATGGTAACTGCAATGCAATTCTGCCTACATGTGTCTCAAGCCTCTGGGTATTGCTGTGATAATACAGCTTTTTAACATGTAGATGTGTTACCTGAGAAATATATGCTGTCTTTCAAAGAATGGAATAATGCAGTAAATAAATTCAAAAAGTAAAAACATTAATACAATAAAATATACAGTACTGTATATTAACTATATGAAAACAGTATTTAGTAAAGCAGTTTAAAAAAAAAAACAATGATGAGCTGCAAAGTACAGTCGGGTCTATCAACCAGATTTTTAAAATGAACAAGGTTAGAAGCAAGAAAGAGAACTACTGACTGCTTACAATGGGTTATTGTTGTTTGACTTAGAAGCTAACTTCACGTTTAAAATAAATAAATAAATGCACATGATTTTTTTTTACAGGAGTCTGCAAAACTTTGCACCCGCAGTCAGTCGTGTGAGGGTGCAGTGTCAGGCTCCTGCACACTCTTCCTCCAGCTTTCTGCCTGTATCTCTGTATGGGCTTTCTGTTAGAAAGTTGGAGAAAAAGTAAATGGAGTACGAGCACGCTGCACAGCCGCACCAATTTTATATGTGACAGGAGCTGCGGGGTAGAGGAACCCATGGTCATGGGGAACTCAGGGGGTAAAAGGCGGTAGTGTGTAGGAACACACCTAAATACAGGTATTTAGGTGTTAGGAGCACACCTAAATACAGGTGTAATGTGTATATGTAAGCCAGGTATACAATGCCTAAAACTAGAGTGGGCTATACAATAGTAGATTATCGAATGAAGTTCATACAAAAATGTGTACGAAAATTGTATGTTTAATGGCTGGATAAATGCTGTTTAAAAGTAGTTCAAAATGTTAATATGGAAAAAAGTGCAGCGCTAATGAACAATATATAGCATAGATCTGAGGCTGACCACAACCTCAAATAGATAAATAAAGTTTAAGGAGAATAATGTCCAATTCTAATCATATAAATTCGGTGACTTCGTTACTACCAGTGAGGCACAAACCAGGTATCGTGCAGGAAATGTAAGAAATGCGCACTCACCAGATGCGCGATATGAAAGCGCAATGATGTAAACCAGAGGTCCCCTCTTGTCCTATAGAAGGTGCAGCTCACACTGGGCAGGCTTTCTCACAGTATTTGCGCCTTTAGAGGTCTTCTCTAATGGTGGGGGCTGCGGCGGGGGGGGTCAGCACAAATAAGTCACTCTCCTCTGGGCCTCGGGGGTAGTCACCACAGGATCCTGGGGGATTAAATGCTCGGCGTGGAGCAGAGTATAATGGCCATAGTGTAGTAGGTGAAAAACTCAAATCTTTATTAATGGATCAGAGTAGTGAACATACGTAAACCTTGGAGGCCTTCACCAAAAACTAAAGCAGATGCAAGGTATACAGCAAAACCTGGTCAAATCACTAACCAGTTGGATAGTTATGGGGGCCACCGGACCTATTTGATCCGGTGGCGTGACGTCTCAGGCGTGTGTGGCTTCTCCTTATTTAGTTCAAAATGTTGTTTGCTTTTTAACATTTGATTTTGAAATGAATGAAAACTATATATACTTTTTGAAATTTGTCTGAGAAAATAAAATTTCCTTCCTGCTTCTTTGAATTTTCTTGTCAGAGTGGTTGAAAGCAAATGTCAATTTCACCCAGCTAATGATTAGAAAGTCAAAGGAACGTTCTTAAAACGAAAAATTTCAGATGAAATTCTGCTTGTGTCTATCCAGCTTTACATAACCCTAGGTTCACACCTAAGCATTTTCCGCAGCGCTTCGCAGAATCGCAGTACAGTCCATTTAACATGATTTCCTATGGGACATGTTCACATCTGCGCGTTTTCACCCGGTGTGTTTTTTGGAAAGGGTCAGGGACTTTATTGAATGCAAAAAGTTGCGATTTTTTGGTTCTAAAGACGTCAATGGAAACGCTGCAGAAAAGCATGCATTATGCTTTTGCTGCATTTTGCGTTTTAAAATCCACCTAGCAACAAAACATTTTTTTTGAAAGAAAGAGGAAAAAAAAAACGCATCAAAAACACAGGTGCAAAAACACACAAAACGCAATGCAGAAACGGTTCAAACGCAACCTGCATAGCTGTTATATTAGCATTCGTGATCTGCACAAACTCTTTACTTCTAGAAATACGATGGCTTTCACTGACACTGCCAAACATTTTTTCTTCTCCAGCTTCTCCAGTCAGAAATAACAGAGACCGAAGTGGTGATGCAGGTCTTCGACTTCAACCGTTTTTCAAAACATGAAGTGATTGGGGAGGTGCGCCTAGCAGTGCGGGACATCAATTTGAAAGATGTTATTGAAGAATGGAAAGAGCTGCAAGCTGCAGGAGATTCAGACGTAAGGACAAGTGCACCAATGTTGTACTGGGAATTATAGGGTCATCTAAACATTTCCATTATCACACTTTTATCTTTTGCAGTATGAAAAACTTGGAGAGATTTGCTTCTCTTTAAAATACATCCCTGTGTCATCAAAACTTGTTGTGGTCATTCTTGAGGGAAGAAAACTTAAGAAAATGGACAACGATGGATTCTCAGGTGAATTTCCACTAAAGGACAATTTGGGTTCTGTATCTATTCAGGACAGCCATCAGAAATTTTGGGGCCCTTTACACAGCTTTAGGCCTGGGCCCCCCCGAGCCTGACGACCAACATTCCCCAGGGTTCGCACACTGACCGTCCCACCAAATCTGTTCACTGGCCAGGGGTGTCCACATGTTGCAACCGCAGCAGGAATTCTACACCCTGTCACACTTAACAGTTGTAGCGCCTGCCAAGCGTGATCTATTCAAGTGAATGGGGCTAATCTGCAACTGTGTGCAATGCATGCAGTTGCAGGGTGCTGTGGGATCCAAAAGGTTAAAGAAAGTGAGGAGGCAATAAAATGCCTCCTCACACCTGCTTTAACCCCTTGGTTGCTGTACTTACAAAGTTGCAGGGCGTTTGCAAAGGAGCCCCATTCATTTGAATGGGTTACACTTGGCAGGCGCTACACCTATTAAGTGTGACAGGGTGTAGAATTCTTGCTGCGGCTGCGACATCTGTGTGGTTGGGGAGGGGGTAAAAATAGGGCTCAGCTTTAGGGTTTTACTGCCACTAAACTGTAAATGTAAACAAGTCCTTACTGTCCTGAGCCCCAAGTTGCATTTTAGGGGACTCCTGGGATGAGGACAGAGAAGGGACCACTGGGATAAGGGACAGATAGGTACCCATGGGCAGAGGGGAGAAAGGGGGCCCCTGGGATGAGGGGAGAAAGGGGGGCCCCTGGGATGAGGGGAGAAAGGGGGATGAGATGCAGGGAAAGGGGGCCCTTGGGATGAGGTGAGATAAAGGGGGGTCCATTGGGATGAGGGACAGAAAGGGGAACCCTTGGGATGAGACAGAGGGGAACCCTGGGATGAGGACAGAGGGGGATTCCTGGGATAGAGATAAGAGGGGTGCCTGGGATAGGGACAGAGAGTGACACTGTAGGATGAGGGAAAAAGAGTGGCCCATGGGATGAGGACAGATAGGCAACCTTCTGTCATGTCCCTTTCCCACTGCCCCTCTGTGACAGGCGGCATCTCTTTGGTTTGGTTTGGGGTAGAGGGGGGTAAGGCAATATGTGCTGGGGGTGCTGTGGGAGGGGAAAGGACTTGTGCTAGTGGGGGGTTGGATTTGAAGTTCCAAAGCACCCCCAGCACAAATCCTCTTACTTCCATCTCACATCATTCCTCCATTTTTGCATCCTTGTTACCGCCCCTCTTCCCTGTTACTGTGTCTCCCTCCTCTATATCCATCCATAGGCTATACACAGACTTCACTCACAATGCAAGGTCCCTCCTCCATGTATAGATGAGAACATCAGAGCCAAGGAGGGGGAGGAATGATCCTCCCTGAGGTGTGCAGCCTGTCATTGGGGAGAGTTGCTGGTGTTGGCTGCCACAGAGGGACAATCACCGAGTGTGTGACCTGGTCACCCACAAGAGATGCAGGGCAGGTGCCCACAATAGAGCGCCCCTGTCAGGCCAGTTACAGAGCCCAGTGCCAGAACTTGTTCTGTCACTGGGCTCAGGGATTCTGCACAGGTCCGTCGGGACAGAAGTACTGCATACTGGGAGACTCTCATGGGGCCACCTGCGGTTCTGGTTGGGGCCTGGGCCCAGGCCCCCTACATTGTATGGGTTGTCCCCCCCCCCCCGATGGTGGACCTTACTTTATTTTACATTCAGTTTAATCTGAGATAATTGTGTACAAATAGAACTTTCTACACAAAAGGAAAAACTACATATCCAATAGTTTTGCCTTTCTGGTTTTATGATACAAACTTTTTTTTTGTTTCATACAAAAACAGTTGGCTAGTTTTAGAGGACATGTACTGAGAAGATATGACAGCTAACAATGCTATCCTCTTCATCAGAAAATTTCTCGGCTGTCATACTGATTTTTTGGCTTCATTGCTCTACCAAGTCATTATCCCAACAAAGGTATGCAGATTAGGAGTTGTGATCTGAATCTGATTCTCCTGATTGGCATACTTGTCCTGGATTAGTGACTTAGATAATCACTAGTATTTTCAGGAGGAGGTCAGCAATGGCAAACCACATATTCCTCTCTTCACAGGTTTCCTTTAACCCTCTTAGCATTAGGGGGCAATTTACTAAAACTGGAGAATGCTAAATCTGGGGCAACTCTGCATAGTAGCCAATCAGCTTCTAACTTCAGCTTGTTCAATTAAGCTTTCACAATAAAATCTGGAAGCTGGTTGGTTTCTATGCAGAGCTGCCCAGATTTTGCACTTCCTGTTTTAGCAATCTCCCCCTGACCCTAGGTTCACATCTGTGCGGGTGGGCCGTGCAGATCCGCAAAAACCTGTGCTGCACCACCCGCACAGAAAAACGCGGACCCTGTGGCGGGTGCCATTAGTTATAATGGCACTCCAACCGCACTGGAAAACGCAACTGTACTGGGAACCGAGTTTCCCATGCGGGCTGCATTTTCCAAAGAAGTGCAGGGACTTCTTCCCTGCGTGTCACGGGCACGGGAGTCCATTCAAATGAATGGGCCCTCGTGCCGCAAAACGCGGCTCGCATGCCATATATATGAACCGGGGGGTGTATGTTTTAGTATATGTGTTTTTTTCTGATGAAACTTGGTTCTAGGATGCAGTTGCCCCTATTTCAGAAAACAGCAAAATGTGCATAATTGAGCCGAGATCATAACCAGCCAGAGCTCAGCTTTTTAGCAGTTTATTGTACGAAATAGTCTCTCACCAAAGGATCAACTGAATTGTTCCTGACATGCATGCAGATCAATGTATCTAAAGGATGCGGACCTATCAGGATATAAAGTAATTTGCCCAAATTTTTTGGACAACTTTCACACCTATATGGACCTATTAGACATGTCATTCCAAAACCATTGGTATTAATATGGAGTCCCTCTCCACCTTTGTGGGCATAACAGCCTTGGTGTATGCTGTACCATTAACAGCACCCTTCACTGTAAACATTGTAAGACAATCATTTGGAAGGTTGTCTGTGTATCTTTGGCCATACAGTGTATAAAATCCAATTGAATGTGAACATGCCCAATAATTTGTAATGCATTAGGGTTGATTTACTAAATAGACTGTTCTATTTGCAAGGGGATTTTTTTTCTTAGCATAGTTAATGCAGTGAAGATCTGCTGACTTTCATCATTCAATCATGTCCAAGCAAAAATACTATTTTTAAAATGTTCCTTACTTGTAATTGAGTATTCTTTGCAAAGTGAATTTTCACGATCTTCACTAAGCTAAGTATACATCTTATTTTCCTTTAGTCAATCAACCCTAAAGGATCCAACAAATTTACGATCCTGATTTTCTCTGTATTGGATTAGTAGTCATGCAATCAGTTAGCTTTACTGCCGTACCCCGATTTGCCTGCACAGTTCTTGATTTGCTAGTCCCTTAGCAGACTACCAATTGGACCCATCTAGATTTTTGACTGTTGCTATTAATTAATAACATGCATGCTATTCCTGATAAGACCACATTGGTAATGATATATATTTAGTATTTATTTTATCAACAAACTGAACTTTTTTGCCCCCACAGACCCATACGTGAAGGTGCAGCTGGCTCTGAATAAGAAAAAATGGAAGAGAAAAAAGACTAAGGTAAAGAAGAATACATTAAATCCATACTTCAATGAGGAATTCACCTTTGATGTGACACTGGAGCAAATTAAGGTCAGAATGGCATACTCATATTACATATTTATCTGCAAAAAAAAATGTGCATTTATTATTTTTTGTCAAAAGGTGAACCTATCCTACCACTTGACCTCCGGAAGATTTACCCCCCTCCATGACCATTCCATTTTTTGCGATACAGCGCTGCTTTAATTTAACTGACAATTGCACTGTCATGCAACTAAATTTATGCAATGCAATTAAATTTACCGTATTTTTCGCTCCATAAGACGCACCTGACCATAAGGCGCACCTAGGTTTTAGAGGCAGAAAACAGAAAAAAAAATTCTGAACTAATGGACTGCAGACATAGTACAGATGACCAGAGACTGCGGACACAGTACAGGAGATGACCAGAGACTGCGGACATAGTACAGGAGATGACCAGAGACTGCGGACACAGTACAGGAGATGACCAGACTGCGGACACAGTACAGGAGATGACCAGAAACTGCGGACACAGTACAGGAGATGACCAGAGACTGCGGACACAGTACAAGAGATGACCAGAGACTGCGGACTCAGTACAGGAGATGACCAGAGACTGCGGACACAGTACAGGAGATGACCAGAGACTGCGGACACAGCACAGGGGATGACCAGAGACTGCGGACACAGTACAGGGGATGACCGGACTGCGGACATAGTACAGTGGATGACCAGAGACTGCGGACATAGTACAGGGATGACCAGAGACTGCGGACATAGTACAGTGGATGACCAGAGACTGCGGACAGTACAGGAGATGACCAGAGACTGCGGACACGGTACAGGAGATGACTGCTGACCTTTGGGGAGGGAGGGGGAGCGGGTACCTGAATTTGACAGGTACCCACTCTTACTTCCGCGGAGTTTCTTCTTTGATCTTACCTGTTCCTCTATCCAGCCGCGCGCTGTCTACCCGGCTTCTGTAGTGTGGGCGCTCGGCGGACAGCCGGATGCCCAGTGCGCATGAGCGAGAATCACTGAGCTTTGTGATTGGTCCGGCGGCTTCTGGGATCTGTCATGTGTCCCAGGTACCGCCTTACCATTCACAAAGAGCACCGCTTCTTGCGCATGCGCACTTGGCACCTGGCTGTCACGCACACTACAGAAGCCGGGAAGACAGCGCGCCGTGAAGACAGCGCGCCGCTGGATAGAGGAACAGGTAAAGTCCCACTGCAGAGCTGAGCGGCCGGCCCGGTATTTTGACACGGCGGTGGAAATACCGGACCGGCCGCTCCATATTCGCTCCATAAGATGCACTGACATTTTCCCCCCTTTTTTGGGGGGAAAAAAGTGCGTCTTATGGAGCGAAAAATACGGTATGTAATATTTTTTCCCACAAATAGAGCTTTCTTTTGGTATTTGATCACCTCTGGGTTTTTAATTTTTTGCACAATAAACAAAAAACACTGACATTTAAGAAAAATAACAATACTTTTTACTTTCTGCAATAAGACATATCCAAGTAAAAAATAAACAAAAATCAAATCTCTTCATAAATTTAAGCCAAAATGTATTCTGCTACATATAAAAAAAAAATCCCAATAAGCGTATATTGATTGGTTTGTGCAAAAGTTGTAGCATCTACAAATGGCGGTATATATACTGGAATTTTTTTTTATACTAGTAATGGCGGTGATCAGCGAGTTATAGTGGGACTGCGATATTGCGGCGGACAGTCTGACACTTCGTGGGAACCAGTCACAATAATACAGTGATCAGTGCTAAAAATATACACTGTTATTGTATTAATGACACTATCAGGGAAGGGGTTAAACATCTAGGATGATCAAAGGGTTAATTGTGTGCCTAGCCAGTGTTTTTGGGTACTGTGTGTGCTGATTTTGCAAGGCAATCTGCTAGATTTTGTTCCCTGAAAAAAATCTAGCAGATCGCCACTGACAGAACACAGCTTAGCCTTGTTTACATAGGCAGAGCTATGTTCTGTCAGTCTTCTCGGTGATCAACAGGTGCTGGTGCTCATCCATTGGCTGGCACCTGTTGATCGACTTCTGCTGTGTCCATCACAGCAGAATCAGTGCTCCAGAGGTAGGCGTGTGCCCCCCTGTGGCAGAAGTGTAAAATCACACGTTTATATATGTGATTTGCACAGAACATCTGCCCTGTAGCGTAAATCTGCTATAGGGCAGATGGCAAATGGTTAAAATGTTACTAAAGGCTCAGATTTAGTTTTAAAAAATAATAGTGGTTTTACACAGAGAAGCCCCGATCCTCCTCTTCTCGGGTCCTCCGCTGGCGCTCTTCGCCCCTCCCGCCTGTTGAGTTCAAGCTGCTTGCAATGGGGGAACCCAGGCAGGTGTGCTCCCGAGCTGCTGCTCTGCGTGTCCATTAACACACAGAGCCGTGGCTTGGCCCTCTCCCTCTCTCTCATCTCATTGGCTCAGTGGCTGTGATTGACAATGGCTTCCGCTGCTGTCACAGACAAGGAGGGAGAGTCCCAGGAGAGCCGAGGCTCTCATGCACATCGCTGGATCACGATCGGGCTCAGGTAAGTCTTGGGGGGGGTTCTGCACAGAGAAGTTTTTTTAACTTCATGCATAGCATGCATGAAGGTAAAAAAGCTTGAGCCTTTACAACCACTTTTTACTTTATATAATAACTTCAATGTTATACACTCTATACTGCACAATTAACTAGGATGGCAAATCCTTTTTATGTACATATAACAATTTTCTTCTCTCCCTCAGAATGTGGATCTCATCATCTCAGTGTGGGACCATGATAAAGTCAATAAAAATGAGCAAATTGGAAAGATATTTTTAGGCTGCCGAGCCTCGGGAAATGCTTTGCGACACTGGTCAGACATGCTTGCACATCCTCGAAGACCCATAGCACAGTGGCACAATCTTCAGGCAGCAGAAGAGGTTGACAAAACGCTGGCACTAAAATCTCATTTAAAACTGCCTATTCCAGGGAGATAGAGCTTGTATCTTGAGGTTCCTGAGTCAGGGTCGCCATGAAAAAATATCAGGGTTACCTGCAACCTAAAATCTGGGCCCCTTTTGTTACTGTTTTGCATATTGTGATTACTGTAGCTTATTATGTTGTAATATGTGTGTAGCAAAATTAAGTCTACACTTGTTCAGCCATACAGCATATAATATAAAGCAGAACCCACCCCACTGGATCACGTGTCTTAGTACACTCTTGATCTGATATCAGCCAGTTTGCAGTATGATGCCCCTTTTAATCCTTGGTAAACGTTTTGCAAAAGGGTACTTTTTTTCCTCACCTTCCTAAAAGAGAAGGAAAACTGCCTTTGCACAGATTTTGGTGCCCATTGCTTTTCTCAAACGTCCAATGGCCACAGCAAGACAGGTCACTCCCATGTCCAGCAGGACTGTTTCTTTACTTCCTTGATAGACATTGTGTAGCAGAAGCCACTTCAATCCCAACTAGTTACTTTGCGCCAGAACTCTCTTTCAACGCCCTTCCAGTCAATTCTCTCTTTCCAGTGTTCCTCGTGGGTGTTTCTGCAATAAAACTGTTTTTTCTGGTCATAGTACAAGCAGGATCCTTGACCCCAATCACCTGGCTGGTTTGTATCTAAACTTTTTCCTGCCTTGCTACAGTGAAGTCACCTATCTCTTGTGGGAGGGATAAAGTATCTCTTCTTTGTAGTTTATACCAGAACATACTGTATCTTAGACATCTGGGTAAATGAATACAAGGAGCCTTTGGCAGGGATACACCGGCCACCCCTTGCCCATTCCAAAAAGTTTCAGCAACAACATTCTATCATCCTCACATCTATTCTTCATGAATTTATCCAGAGTGGCAACTCCATGGTATTTTGCCAGGATAAAATGATAGTTATGCAATCATAACTTATTTCCCTGTTTAAAATATTAACCGGAGTAAACCTGGTATAAGATGCTTCTCTACCAAAAAGTGCACATTTACCCCATTGAGCTAGAATGAATGGCGGCCCTATCATGAACCTTTTATTATACCAAAACATATTAGCTGTTTCTTTATATGTCTCATCTTGCACAAAGTCTGTCTGATATATATATATTTTTTTTTCTGTACATTCATAAATTATATCCGTACAAAATGCAAGTCATGCCATGTCGGCAAATGTTTACAAGTTGGGAAACAGAATGAAGTAAAATATGTTCTATGAGCATTGAAAGAACAATATAAAATATATTTCAAACTTTTGTTCGGAATAAACCAAGATTGAACTTTCCAATTGTGTAGTGTTAATCTTAATGTTTGTATGTATAACTCTAAAATAATGAAGAATATGTTAGAGAAATAACGTTTCTAACAAATGTTGGAATCATTTTAAATCAAGACCAAAAGATGCCAAAATATGTAATCTGTGATATAGTCCATATATTTTAAAGATGGGGGTTGAATTATAAAAACTTGAGAAAAAATAGAAATAAAAATGTATTTGTTGCCAGTAGCACCCGAATGTATCATCTTTCATGGAGAACTAAACAAAAATTATGATTTGCTGTTATAAGCATTTACTTTACCTAGTTGCATTGTATAGGTGCACCTCGGTTTACAAACGCCTTGGTTAATATAATTTTCGGTTTACGAATGAAATCCATTGAAAATAATGCCTCGGTTTACAATTTTGAGGGGAACTCCCACGCCAAAATTAAAAAACAAATGGCGTGGGGGTCCCCCCCAAAATCCATACCAGACCCTTATCCGAGCATGCAGCCCGGCAGATCAGGAAAGGGGGGGGGAGACGAACGAGCGCCCCCCCCTCCCCTCCTGCACCATACCAGGCCACATGCCCGCAACATGGGGGGGTACTTTGGGGCAGGGGGGTCTCCCCCCCCAAAGCACCTTGTTCCCATGTTGCTGGGGACAAGGGCCTCTTCCCCACAACCCTGGCCGGTGGTTGTGGGGGTCTGCAGGCAGGGGGCTTATCAGAATCTGGAAGCCCCCTTTAATCCCCCCTATGTGAATGAGTATGGGGAACATGGTCCTGCTACTCATTCACAAAAAACAAAAAGTATAGTGTGAAAAAAGACAGGACATGGTCTTTGACAAGTCCTTTATTAAGAGAAAAAACTAAAAGAATATCCCCCCCGCAGTAGATCCAAAGTCAATCAGGATGTCTGCCGCAGACCCGAAAAAAAATAATTTTTAAAAAAATGCTCCGCTCCCAACGATGGCTCCCGCCGTCTGTCTGGTCCGGTGGTTTGACAGTTCATAAATATGTAAGGGGCGGGGCCACCCAGGGACATCACGCACGTGACATCAATGATGATGTCCCCAGGTGGCCCCACCCCTTACATATTTAAGAACTGTCAAACTACCGGAGCAGGCAGATGGCGGGAGCCATCATCGGAAGTGGAGACTTTTTTTTTTAATTCTTTATTCTGGTCGGAGGCGGCGGCGGACATCGTGATTGACATTGTATCTACTACTATTCAAATGAATAGCTGGCAACATAACAAACTGTCCAAAACAAAAACCTGATGTGCATCATTTTTGGCAACACAGAAAAACTGTTTGGCTTCCATGTGTAGTTTTGGCACTAGGGAATCTTGAATCTGCTGAGCCTACAGGGAGGGGTCCATCTTGCAGCATAGCTCCTACATTATTGGCATCCTAACACCTGCTGCTGGAAAAATCCACCATAAAGGCACCAACAGGCCCATCGTCTTCCTTAAGCACCAAAAATGAGGCTTGGAACAAAAAGTTTCATCACCCAGGAATGACATTACCCTGCACAGATGTGATGCCTAGTGTCCTTCAAAAAAGAAATGGCTAAGGCCATATTCTAACCTGGGAAAACTGCAACTGCCCACCCACAAAACTCCCTGTCAAGAAGGTAAGTCCCCTCCATACAAGGACTTCACTAGACATGAAGAAAAAGAAGGGGTACCCAGGAGGGGTCCTGGAGGGCAAGGTAGCATAGAAGGACCACCAGCAGCAGCAGAAGTATATACAGTCATGGCCGGGTTGGGATAGAAATCATGTAAGAAAGTATTGATTAACACATGTTTTGCTATACCAGAGACTCAAATTCGACATAATTACCTTACTCCAAAAATGGGCTGGACAAAAGTGGCACCCCCAACTGCAATGCAAGCGCCTGTAAAATGCAAGAGGTGTGGGAAAAAAAAACATTGTGTGTCTGTCTGTGCCACACTAAGCATGGACAACAGAAAGAGGAGACGAGAACTGTCTGAGGACCTGAGAACCAAAATTGTGGCAAAATATCAACAATCTCAAGGTTACAAGTCCATCTCCAGAGAACTAGATTTGCCTTTGTCCACAGTGCGCAACATTATCAAGAAGTTTGCAACCCATGGCACTGTAGCTAATCTCCCCTGGTCGTGGACGGATGAGGAAAATTGATGAAAGATTGCAACGCAGAATAGTCCGGATGGTGGATAGCAGCCCCAAACATGTTTCAAGACATTCAAGCTGTCCTGCAGGCTCAGGGAGCATCAGTGTCAGCGCGAACTATCCGTCGACATTTAAATGAAATGAAACGCTATGGCAGGAGACCCAGAGGACCCCACTGCTGACACAGAGACATAAAAAAGCAAGAGTTTGCCAAAAACTTGAGTAAGAAAATGAGGAAAAGACCCCCTTTTAACATTTGACCTGGTAACATGTTTCCTGTCCAGGTGGTAGAAGTCTCTGTCTCTCCAACTTTCTGCCCTGGAAGACCACTACGGGGAAAAATGTGCAATAATGCAATGCACTGCAGTGGAAAAGTGAAATTTTCATCTCTATGAATTGCTGCTCCTTCAACTGTCTTCCAGCTCCTACGTAACCACAACAGTAAAATATGGTGGAGGTTCATATAAAAAGCCAAACAGATACCAAAGGATTTTGGGTCTGTAGGGCCCATGTCAGAAAGCTGGGTTTGCGTCAGAACTACAGCTCTCATGTTACATGGTGCCATGAAGTGGCCAGCAATGCCAATCTAAATCTGAACAGATCTTAAAATTGCAAAGGGCCAAGAGAGAGACTGTTTCAAAGGTGTCCAAAATTCCGGGTGAGAGGTGTCCGTTTAGGAAGCCTGATTTCTATTTTCAGGGTGGCAACCAAGAGGGTGCCAATACTTTTCTGTAAGCAGAATACATACGGCATGTGTATAAAATGGATGCAATACCTTTTTTGTGTAACGGAAAAATATCAGGGTAATTTCGGCCATGTGTACAGGGGGTACATTATTCAATATCGCCAAATGGAGGAAAAAAAAAACCACCCCCTTTTAACATTTGACCTGGTAACATTGTGTTACAACTTTCTGCCCTGGAAGACCACTAGGGAAATGTGCAATAATTGCACTGAGAAAAAAAAATGAATTGCTTCCTTCAATAAACCACCAGCATATAAAAAGCCAAACAGATAACTCAGAACTACAGTTCTCTTTCAGGGCCAAGAGTCATCTGTAAGCAGAATAACGGCATAAAAAACATAGTCGATTATACTTTGTTACATATTATATATAATTTGAGAAAAAATATTCTTCCATAAACCCAATCATAACTGTTCTCTTTAAACATTTGGCTGCACTAAAAGGAATAACTACTGATCCCAGCATGCCCTGCTGTAAGAAAAAAATGTGTGCCGAGAAGATAAACATCAAATGTGCACTGCAGGTAGGAAGAAGACAGACTGTGGGAAATGAGACTGGAGAAGTCAAATGAATGATCTGTAAATTTAATGATAAATTAGCTATTATATCAAATATGAAGGGGCTGACAAGTTTGGAGTCAGTGGCTGGTAACACAAAGTGGGGTTCACTGCATAAATAAAGAGGACTCCCAAGAAACTAAAAGGTCTCCTGGAGCTTATACAGGTGAAACTCGAAAAATTAGAATATCGTGCAAAAGTTCATTTATTTCAGTAATGCAACTTAACCTCCTTGGCGGTATTCCCGAGTGTAGCTCGGGGTAACATTTCAGTACCAAGAGCGGTAACCCCGAGC